ACAATTCTTCAAAATTTCCATTAAATTCCGGATTCAATATTGCGTTCATAATTCATTAGTGAAAATTGTTGAGTTTGGTTGGAAATCGTGACCACAAAGGGATGCGCCGCTTTCCATTATTACCCCTATGAATGTCCCTAAAATAAATAAAATAGTGATCTCATGAATATAAAATATTCTGGTTCTTCTACGCATGTATAATAGGTTTAAATTACAAATAAATATGTATAGAGGTATGGTTAATGAGATTTTATAATTGCTGCATTTTGTAAAGCTAATATCAACTGAACAATATCGATTATAGTTTCAGCATAAATCATAAATTTTTCAACCCTTATCTATTAAACGTAGTATTTTCTATTCATCTCTTTATTATTAGAAATTTTAACGGTATAACTAATTGCAAGCATCAGTTTTCGTAGAGGAAACTCAGCCGTTTAATTTGTGTGCAATAAACCGGGCTTAGCAGCACCAAGTGGTAAATGGTGACCAGCGTCGGTGGGCGCCGCGTCGCCGCCGTCCGAATTTGTCGACGGAAAAGGCGAATCGTCGCCGACCAAATGTTAAATCGCGTTCCAAGTTATGCGATTACGTCCCTAATAAAAGTTTTGGTGTTCGGAAATGGTTCGAGTAAAGAAAATTATGCCGGTCACATCTGTTACATCCATAATCGATATTCTCCGGCGTTTTGCCGTGTGAAGGGATGAATTTTTCAATAGCTCGCACAAATTTTTCCGCTGCTTTGCGATGCGATCCTTCTTTTATTTTTGAGCCTTATATTGACTGGTTGTCAGAGATGACGAGTCGGCGATATACCTGCCTCAATAATATTCAATCCAAAAAATATATATTCCTCAAATTTACTTATATCCGTCTAAAAGCTTCTTTAACATAATTTTAATGCATTCTAGATTGATTTCCAAATTGCTAATTAAACTAAATTTTCTCCTATTCAAAAAAATTCATTCGAGCAAGTATGTATTTGAAATTATTTGAATACCAACTTACAGAGTATATAATTAGGTTTATAATCAAAATTTTATGCAGGTATCCAATATTCTTCATTGGGAGTGAGAGTAGAGCAAAAAGTATTGAAACAAAAGGAACTACTCGAGCCAGAATCACCAGTCAGAGCCTTAATTTCTGACGTCCTAAAATAGCAGTCCCAATTATGTAAATGAGACTTGTTGAATTTGAATATCCTCTTTAAATTTTAATATTCATTTTACCACCGGTTTTACAGAACCTCTGGCAATTTGGAAGCTTAAGTCTACTATCTTGGAATTTATTGGAATGTTGGAATTGTCAACGGGAATTTTTTCCACTAAAATTACATCAGAGAAATTTATCCTATACAGTGCTTTTGAAGAAAACCACTCATTACAAGTTATAAGCAGATCCTGAAGAATTAGAAATCAGAAAATTTGGGATTGTAAAATAATCAATGTTGTGAGTTTTTCTAAAATATTTTCAACCATATTTGACTTTCGGTTATACCGAAGATGTTATACCGGTAGATGTCAACTTCGTTTTTTCAATTGGAAAGTACCATTTTTTTTACTTCATTTTTGGATTTTGTGGCTCTTTTTAACCAGACTTTGATAATAACACCGTATGCCAAAAATGCGCCACTTTTGAGTTATTATATTTTTTTCGAATTTTTTTCGAAAAATGGTCGAATGCATTATCTCTGGTAATAAAGCACCTGAAGTTTGATGCCTTTAATACGCCATGACTACGTCATAACTTTATCATTGAAAAAATAGTTCAATAATTGAACCAGTTAAATATGAAGAGATGAAATTTTAAAAAAGTTTTTTAGTCTGCATTCCTTCTTTAAATTTTACTTAAATCAAGCAAAATATAGAGAATATTAGGGAAGAATACACCATCAATAAAGAATATTTAATTTTTTTACAAAATTTTCAGATTTCTAAGTCTTCAGGATCTCCTAAAACTTCTAATGGACGGTTTCCTTGAAAACCCCTTTATATATCCATATTGGAAATATTCAATAAATAGCTCTAACGTTAAATCTAACGTTACCTCTCGTTAAAATTTCGTATAAAAGGTTTACAGCATAAAGCCAGTCTAAGATAAAAAAATATTTAGAAGAAAATTCCATTTTAACAATACATATTTCCAGATAACATTCTCACTCTTAATATTATATATGCGAAGGTGACCTTCTTGTGCACTATCTTCCTCTGTATATTACGTAAAAGTATCATTGTAACGTTGATATATAAGATACTAAAATGCGTTCTGGGAGTTTTCCATAACACAAAGCACTACTTGTATTATCCCTATTTCCTTAGTTTCCATATTCCAAAATGTGCCACATAAACTCCACTCTTTCGGTCCTGCCCCTCGTGTGCATACAGGGACAATCGCACCAAATGAAACAATAATAATTTACAAAAAGAAGCAAATAGAAAACGTAATTATCTACGTATGATTAAATTGTATATACGCGAGTAAAGAAAAATACTTCCTCTTGTTTAACTATTTCAGTAGATTTAAATCATTTTAATTGCTTTGTTTCATGTATAGTAACGGAGCAAAGGAATTACCCTATATACTCGGTGCCCTCTGGGAAAATAGCATTGGAAATTGCTATATCGATATTTCTGTCAAATTATAGTTCATTGGGTCTAACACCCAGTAGCAAGCTGAGGCAATTTTGCTCTACTTATTTGTGTAGGAAGGTGGTATATATTTCAACAAGAATTGCAAATAATATACACGTGTCCTGGGGCAACCATATCCCATCAAACTCAGTTGATAAAAAAAATAAATGTCTGCCAAAATTTCATCTCTTTTGTTTTAGACTATTTTTTGTGGTGTGTAACAAAGCTCCTTATAATATTTAACCAGCTATTCCGGTTCTTGTAATTACAGGCAGCAGTTTTAGCAATCGAATTGAATTACCTCGTTCAAATTACCTGGCATTTACGAGTTGATTGGAAAGCAGGTAGAGTTTACCCGTGAAATGAAGTTGGTCTCGGTGGTCAAAACTTGGCCAAGCCCTAACGTGTCTGCAGCATTAATACCATATTAAAGGGAATTTGCAATTATAATCCCTGCGAATAGCCCACTTTCTCGGGACGACACAGCGAGTTAAAATGAAGCTTAGAATTTCCGCGGCCTTGCAAACAGAAAGAACCAGGCCCGAGTTATACACTCTAAATTGATTTAATCAACTAAAATAATTTAATTGTAACATTTTCTTATTACTGTATTTACGCTATATGTCTATATTGCTATTACTAGGATATTATTTCAATAAAAACAATCCAATAGTGTCCTCTTAAAATTCCAATCAAATTTAATTCTAATAGTTTTTAACACTATGAGAAACGATTTCTTCGTATGTATACCATGAGTAGGGAAATTGGTCGAGTCCAGACCTGCATAGGACGTGGTCCTGCCCCTTGCATGGATTCTCCGCTTTGTCCTTCCTAATCCTTATGCAGATCCAGATGTTACCAACACCACTCGCAAATTCTCAACAACTTTAATGCATACTTTACTTAATATCTCCTCCACTTAGTGGTTTTACAACGAAGCGGAAATGGGTGCATCGCTCTTCTTGATCATTTACTAATTGCGGCGAGAAGCAGGACACAAAACTTTTTGCTGGGTTAAATGATCTGGGAAAAACCGGCAACCCTTTCGGTTAATTTGAAAGTGGTTGGGAATTTTTTGTTCATACATCTACTCATTGAAAAAACTTTTATGTCCATTTATGTAACTACTTACTTACCAATGGATGTGCAGAATATCTGGATCAAAAAGCTTTAACAAACTCTCATGCTCGTTACTTCCGAGTGATTACTCATAATTGAAAAATCCACAGCTCCACTTTATTTGATGTAAAAAACAAACCGTATTCTAAATTCACGACAAACACTAAACAATACTCGACGGCTTCGCTAGCGATTACAATTTTCCAAAGGGAAAACCGAAGCGTTTCCTCATTTTCCTTAGAATATCCCGTTTTTTTTGTCCCCTGCAACGTATTTCGACTATAACGCTAAAAACTCCTGCTGTGAAGCTTGGTAGGTAGGCATTCATTTATAATCAAAGCTTTAAAGCTTTATGTAAAATAGTCGGATATAGAATGATCCCCCAAATCCCAGATCCGTATTTAGATAACAAAAGGATATTTCTCAAAAGATCTATTTCTTAATGTAGCTACTTATACATATCTATAATAACAACAATATTAATTATCTTGCAAATATTCATTCAAAAAATATATGCAAAGCGAATAGGTATTTATAATAGGTATTTGAAAAATAAATCACAAATAAATGATGATACTGATTATTTTGCTTCAAATTTTTTCAATGTAAATATTAAACGTAGAAAATTTGCTTCTAGAATTCTATTTTGAAATTAAAATCTCACTGTTAATTACAATGAAAATTTAAGTAAAAAAAGGTAGTATAACTACATAAAATAATGCAGTATTTATTTTTTATCCAATTTTTTGATACTTACATCGTTTTTACAAGATGCAATATATTGCAGTAATAAATATAATGTTGCATTGCAGTTGAAATACAAGCGTTAAAATGCGTTGTTTTCACACGTATGCAATGGGATAATTTTTATTAACACTTGTATAAGTACTGCAAAGCATTACATTGCAATAAATTGCACCGTGTGAAAACGCTCTAACGCTTGTATTTTAACTGCAATGCAATATTGCAGAAATTTGTTGCAATTTTTTATACAGTGAAAATAAACAAGAAAAACCTTTTTTTTAATCTTCGGAGGGGTATAACTTTTCCGGGGAGTATTTTTTTAATAAATGTTATACCAAGCACCCCGCTTTTATTTTCATCGCAAGATCTCCATTTAATGTTTTTCTGTGTTATTTAGATACACCCTGTATATGGTATGAAATGTAATCGAAGAAAAATTCGGTCTCTTCTTGTAGACTATTACAGTCATTATATTCAAAATAAAAAGAAGAATAAGGTTATGTTCTATGTCAGTCTGCTAGAATTTTCTGAATGTTTCAATAATTTATGTTTTTAAAATGTTTACTATAACAAAACGGCTATATTTATTGAATTCAACAATATCTAGGCAATGTGTTAAATTTTCAAGTGCAAAGAAAAACCCTGGAATCGAAAGGCGAGGAGCAGCAATACAGCTAGATAAACTGGATGAAATGGAAGAGCATGATATTGATGATTTCGAATCAGATTTTATGAATGTTCATCAAAGCCACAAAGAGTACATAAGAGAGGCGGAAGCCCAAAAGGAAAGGCTTAAATACCTTATAGTCAAACAGAAATATTTCAAAGAAAAATATCCAAATTTTCTATATTGGAATGAAAAAGAGCAAATTAAGTATTTACACAACACTAATCCAGAGGAATGGACTATCGAAAATCTCTCGGAAAGTTTTCCAGCTACTCCAGAAGTCATTACAGTAAGTTACTGTAATTTCTTTTATATTTAGATATTATTCGTAAACACTAGTAACAAATTAAAGTAACATTTGTAGATATTAATATTTAAGATTTACAACTTTTTGTTGCAGAAAATTTTAAAAGCCAAATATTCTAAAGGAGGCTCAAAAATAGAAAACCACGATGCCAATGTAGAGAAAAATTGGAACGAATTTAATAGAGGGAATCTGAAAAATTTACCTTCACATTTAGTCGAACATTTACAGAAATTTACAAATAGAAAACGAATCACTCAGCCAGTTTTTCAAAAGCCAGAAGTGATAAATAGGCCGAAAGGTCGGACAGAATTCTCGGAAATAATCACTAGCTACCACAATTTAAAAAATAAAGATGCTAGTGATGAAACAAGCAGGAATATCAGTTTGGATCTAAGACATTCATTCACACAAAATCAAAATAATGTAAACGAAGGTGCTTTAATTATAGAAAAGAGTAATTTGACAGACAAACGTGTTACTACTTTAAAAGGTTTACAAGAAAGAATAGAAAAGAAAGTGAGTAAAGGAAAGGATTTGTCCGAAGAAGAAAAATTAATCTACAAAGATTTAGCAGAACCAAAATCTGAAGAAACTTGTATTAATATCAAAAACGAGGATTTAGTTGCAATATCAGAAAACAAATACACCACCAGTAGCGGACATTTAATGATGGCCAAAAAAGAAAAGGACTATTCTCATCTTATTTATCCAGAAAAAATTAGTATTCCAAAAAAATTAAAGAAAAGAGGTTATACATACAAATTAAACGATTGTTACTATGATGACGATGGTCAATTTTTGTATAGAGTACCTGGTATGGATTAAGTAAATTTTTTAAATATTTAAGGTGTGTATCTGCTTTAAAATTATCCTATTACCCTCAATTTTGCAATAAGAGAATTCCATTTTCTATATTTTTTATTAAATAAACAATATGAATATTTAAATGACTAGCACAAGCAATGTAAAAGTGTAAACATAAGTGTATAAATTCGAAAATCAATACTTTGTTAATAAAATAAGATACTGTTCAAATATAATTTTAGAGTTGATTTTGGCAACAGTGATCAATCAAAACTGAAAATTTAATAATTGATAACACATTTGTGTATTGCAGTAGCATATAGAATTTACAATTACTTCATTTAAATTTTTGTACTTACAATCTTTCATCAACAAGTTTATCCATTCATAAAAACAACAATAAATTAGATATCAATTACGTGACTAATTCTGCAATTAATTTTTATCAATCTATAAATTTAATATTTTTGGAGACCTTTCCTGTTTGGCTGCAGATTTTAATACTATTATGATTACATGCTTGTTCAAAATGTATCATTGTAAACAAACAAGCCAAAATGTCTATTACCAATAATTTTTTTCATTCTAAGCATATTCCTTGAACCCACGAACTCAAGTCTGTAATATCTCCATCAATGTCTACAACAATTTCCTCTTGGTGATCTGTTTGCATAAGAATTTGTGCTGCTGTTCTTCCACTCAAATAGGCCCCATGTACAGTTGAATAAAAAGTGCTGTGCGTATGTTCACCAGCAAACAGCAGCACCGGCTAGTACAAAATCGGATTAATTTTTAAGGATATATTAAATGATTTGTTTACACACCTCTTTTTCGTTATCATCGTAGTAAATCGGTTGTGCTAATAATTCAATGTCGATTTGTGATGCTCCTACAGCTATTGCTGTGTATGAACCTTTTGTGTACGGTTGACTGTGCCAACTTGTGCTGAAATAATACAAGTAAAAAAACCATAACAAGTTTACTAAAATTTATAAAGCCTACCATACACAATTTTTCGGTTTGGGTATGAAAGGATCGTTTAGAAACTTTCTTAAAATCGAAGTACACACGTCTATTATAATATCATTCGATAACGTCTCCATATATTCGGCCTCTTTGCCTGAAATCCAACCTAAAATTATAGTTTCCGATATTTTCGTAAACGAATATATTTTCTTGTACCAATTTTTGCTAATGTCTGTTTCTTTATCAGAATCTGCTTCCCAGAGTAGCAGTACTTCTGTAATGTTTGGATGCAAAAATGGTCTATCATATTCCAGTAAAATTTTATCTACAGTTCCAAAGAGCAATCTAAAAATGAAAATTATTTGTTTACTTGCTAATTAAGATAGTACGGGATATATTTACCTATCTATTGCTTCTAATTTATGTTCAGATAGAGGAGGTTGAAACATTGTATTAGCGCAGTGTTTGAGAACCCCAAGGGGTATAGTACATATTATATGGTCACCTAAGAACTTTTTGCCATTATCACAGATTACTTCAACTTTATGTTTGTTGAGGGTTTTCTCACAACTCGGTTCTCGGCTAGACTGATTAGAATTCGATGGGCTTTCTATGACAGTACGATCCGAATCATCTGAATCACTATCGTCGTTATTAGAGCCACCTTTAGTCTATAAAAAAACATTTTATTATTTGAAACTTATCCGATGACTAAAACTATTACCTTTCTACTAGTCCATTTAATAGTTTTGACTGGGTGCTTCATTAGTAAATTGTCTATTGGTATTGCACTTTTCAACGGCTCCAAAATAGAACTGTAGCCATTTGGTAATACTATATTCCCGCCTTGTAGTTCTTCGTAACTCCCTAATTCGAATAAATCGATCTCACTCATATCATCACAGCCTGAAATACATGTCTCTCGTTTCAACAGACAGTCAAATATTAATTCCTTCAAACATTTTTCGTGTTGGTTTTGGATTTTATCCAAATATAAGCCTATTTCTAATCTTATGTGATCACCCACACTGTCTATTCCTTCAGGTGGAGTATACTGGGATATATAATACTCTTCGCATCGCTTCAGGAAGCATAAATACGCCTCGTATGTTTCTCGGAGCGTTGCGAAAGGCACTTGCTTGCCTTGCTCCGTAGCTGCTACTAGTCTATGAGGTTTTGGATAAGCCATTATATCCACCAAACCGTGTTGCATTGCCAATTCATAAACTGGGTTTCCTATAAGGCAGTACATTGATTATATTACTATTTTACACTCTGTTTATTTATTCCCTACCTAGAACCCCATGTATCCAATTCGCTCCAAGTTCTATTTTCTCGTTACCGACAGGTATTTGAATTATTCTTCCGCCAATTCGTCCTCGAGCTTCTAAAACTACAAAATCGGTGAAACCATTTTTTGTTAAATGATACGCCGAAGAAAGCCCCGCCATTCCGGCGCCTATAATGATTATTTTTCTTGTAAACACATTATTATCTGGCTCCGAAAGCCCATTATTTTCCATTTTGTTCAAATATTTCGTTTTTAGTTACATTGAAGAGGCCAATTAGCTAATTTTAAATGTCACTGTCACTCTTGTTGTGTCAAAGTCAATTGTCCCAATAGTTAAATCTTGCCTCTAATGTCAAATGTATTCAGAAACTATTCTATAAATTTATTACAAAAAAGAAGAATTAATTGTCAAAAATAGAAAGTTAACCTCACAAAATGATTTTCAAAAACAAAACTTTTATAAGAAAATTGTCGACCAACAAAAAGTAAAGCATATTGTACAATATATTATTACTTCCAAATAATAAAACATATTTCCGTAGTGCATGGAAAAGCGTAGTAGGCTTAGAAGTACACGCTCAAATAAAGTCGATTAGCAAACTGTTTTCGGGGGCCTCTACGAAATTTTCGGCGCCTGTAAACACCAACGTATGTCTGTTCGACAGTGGAATACCTGGCACATTACCTGTATTAAATAAAAGATGCGTAGAAGCAGCCGTACTCACCGCTCTTACGTTAAATTGCAGAGTTAACCCTGTCTCCTATTTTGATAGAAAACATTACTTTTACGCCGATTTACCAGTAAATATAACACCCTATGTATTACCCCAAAAATAACGTAATATTAAATTTCAGTTAGGTTATCAAATAACCCAACAGCGAGCACCGATTGCTAACGATGGTTGTTTGGAATTTCAAGTATACACGCCCAGTGTTCACAAACAGCCCTATTCTAAATCAGTGCGCATTAAACAATTACAGCTCGAGCAAGACAGCGGTAAAAGCTTGCACGATACTGATCGTAGTCTCGTCGATTTGAATCGAGCTGGGGTGGGATTGATGGAATTGGTTTTTGAACCCGATTTGAAGGATGGCGAAGAAGCCGCCGCTTTAATTAAGGAGCTCGTCGCGATTTTGCAGCGGATCGATACGTGTTCCTGTAAAATGGAAGGTGGGGAATTCATTGCCTTAGTTTCGGGTAATTAACTGCCAAAATCAAATTAATTCTTATTGCAGAAGGGGCGTTGAGGGTGGACGCAAACGTTTCCATTCACAAAGAATCGGAGCCATTAGGTACAAGGACTGAAATCAAAAATATCGGGTCAGTAAGAGGGGTAGCTGGTGCAGTGGCTTATGAAATACAGAGGCAAATAAAATTGAAGGAGTCGAATAAACCGGTAATAAACGAAACTAGAGCTTGGGATGCCAGTACAAAAACAACAATTTCAATGAGAGACAAGGAAGTATTGCAAGTCTGTATAGCAGATAATAAGTTAGATTTACATTTTAATTAAAATTAAGGATTATAGATATATGCCTGAAACTAATTTACCACCTATACAAATTGCCATCGGGCCTGTAAGATGCGGTTCTTTGGACGCTGATGAACTACGGAAAACTATACCTGAATTGCCTGAACAAACGAGGCAGCGATTAAGAAACGAACAAAGCTTATCTTTAGAGCAATCTATTATATTAGTCGTAAGTATTAAAACTATTTTATTTATATACTTTTAACGATATTAATACGATAATATGAGCTTATTTTAGAACGATGCCTCGTTGTTGAAAGTGTTTGAAGATACCGTTTTGGAAAATCAAATCAATTCGAAAATGGTAGCTAATTTCCTAATTAACGAAGTCAATACACTGTTGAATAAAAAAGAAATGGATTCGACAGATATTATGTAAGTATTGTGAAGTAGTCGGATCTATCGGCAATTAATTCATATATTCCAGCGGAAAATCTAAATATATAGGTGAGATATTGACGTTGCTTGAAAAAGAGGATATAAATAGAAACACAGCCAAATTATTATTGGAAGAAATTCTCTTAGGTAGTACTAGAAGTCCAGTACAGGTAAGTGTATACAATAATACTCAAATCAGGTGAACTGTACAAGTTTATAGTATTATAAATTTACTTTCAAATTTCACAGATCGTCAAAGAGAAGGAATTACTCCAAATAAACGATAATGAGAAATTGGAGAAACTGTGCAGAGATGTTTTAGAAGAATGTGAAAAGGCTGTACGCGATTATAGAGCAGGAAAAACTAAAGCTTTCAAAGCATTGCTCGGTGTTATAGTTTCAAAAACCGAGGGCAGAGCCAATATGAAGAAATGTACAAATATCCTAAAGAAATTGTTGGATAAATAAATGCTAGACATAACGAAAACCATTTTTATAGAAATTTTTTTGAAAAACATTATCTTTTCAGAATTATGCCCTGACTATACCTACTCTGTACATTATTAATTGTACATAATTAATTCCAGTGGAATGTCAATTTATTTGCTATACCAAGATTTAAACCTATCAGCAGCTAATAACCATTCTTCATAATTCGTTCTACATTTCATTTTGTATTTCATCGACTCATTGGGGGTAAAAGTATCTGCTACTTTACACAGTGATTGAAAATCCTCTTTGTTTTTCCAGAATCCTAAAAACAACAAATACATATTAATTCTACAGGTATATGAATTAATACAACTACATATTCCATTTTGATGTTCACAGAGGTTCTCACAAAGAAATTGGACGCTTCGTACTTACCACTAGAAAGACCTGCTACATATGAAACCCCCATAACCGCTATATCGGACATGTACAATCGAATTACAGGTAAATCCGTTAGATCTGCTAACAACTGGCAAATAAAATCGTTTTGAGACAAGCCACCATCGACTCTGCAATAAATAAAAACATTCAAATTAACCGTACATATACGCTTTCAATATGAAATCAATTTACTTAATAGAACGATAATCACCGGTTCGCTCGGCTTTTAGTAAATCAACGGTCTTGACAATTTGATAAACGATACTTTCCAAAACTGCTCTAACTAAATGCTCCTTTTGGGTCAAAGGTTTGATGCCTATAAAACCAGTGGCGGCCTCGTCGTTGTTTATTGGAGGCTAAAAATATATAATGATTAAAAAATCATTAATTTTTACAACATTATTGAGATTGGAGCTGTACAGTTATTTAAAACATACCCCAAGTCCACTAAAAGCAGGCACGAAAAACACCCCTTTGGTATCCTCCACTCGAAGGGCCATCTCGGCTGTTATCACAGGATTATCCACCATACCACAATGCAACAACCATTGTATTATCGAACCCGCATCGGTACAAGGTACTTCTGAAACGTACGTCAACTCTTTGCCTATCCGATACCCCACCAAGGGATACATCCCGTTCAAGCTGGGGTGAATTCGGTGCGCGGTGTTGACGTCCAAAAAGGCCCCGGTGCCCATCGTCAATTTTAAATCGTCCTCGAGAAAACTACAGGAACCCAGTACAGACGATTGCTGATCGGCCATCTAAAACAATCATAAAATCGTCCTTCGACAATGCTTTAAAACAGAATAAACATTTGATACTCACACAGCAACCAATTTGTATTTCGACGCCAAAAAACTTTTGCAAAGTTTTGCCGAAATCGTAGTCATTACTAACTACAGCGGGCATGAAATGCGTCGGTATTTTCAGCGCTTTCGCTATTATTCCCCAATCTAATACGAATGGATCATAGAAACCTGTAGAACTAGCATTTGTGATATCTGTTACATAAGTAGATCCGCCGGTTAATTTATACAACAACCAAGTATCTAAGGTGCCAAACATTAAATTATCGTCCTTTATTGCTTCTTTAACTGATGGAATGTTTGCTAATACCCATAGGAAACGGCCAGAAACCTAAAACAAACATTTTGAACATCGTACATATCCAATGATTGTATTCAATAAGCAGTAGTTAAGCTAATATACAGCATTCAGCATTAAGTAATTTTTGATTTTCATTTAAAAAATAATAAATACGAAGCTTACATGATTGTTTCGAACCATGAATTTGCTAGCCATTCCAAATTTCTTGTTGCAAGTACCCAAATAAATGAAATAAGCAGCCCATCTCAAAGCCTGAAACAACAATGTTTGATAAAAATAATCCTGATTTCTAAATAGCATCAAATTAAGGTTCTCTTCAGGTTTGATTCCCAGTAACTATATCAATTGTAAATAGGTCACCATACTTTTGTAGCCAATGATACATTTAATTCTTTGATTAATTTGCTCGCCCTCAAGTCCATCCAAGTTATAAAATTGTGTAAATGCTCTCCAGTATCCCTTTTCCATGTCAAAAATGATGCTCTTTGAGTTGATATAGCCAATGATTGAATTTGTAACACGCTTACATTTGAATCTAAAAAAACATCAATTACTCTAATAATTAGTTAATTACATTTTAGGTAAAATTTGTTGTTTTCAGTATCTAGTTAACTTATCATAAGTCATTATACCTTTAATTGCTCTCTGTATAACATTTAAAATACTCTCGAAGAATTCATCGGGTTCAATTTCGACCCAGCCTGGTTGCGGATATACCAACTTGACCTACAAAAGATAAGAATTATACGAATTAAATCTGCTCGTTATTATATATCTTACTATTTCTGATGCAAAACCGATAGATCTTGCATTAGCATTGATAATATGGCACTTGATAGTAGTGGTTCCCACATCTAATGCTGCGATGAATCCTTTACAATCTTGCGACATGTTTAGAGTTTAGATGATTGAATGGCGATACGCAATAAAAAAAAGGACCAACCTTTGAATCCTTTTATTTGCCAGCAATTAATAATTAATCAGATAATATGAATACATAATGGGTTTTTGATGTCCAAGTTTTTAAGGTTATTTATCACCATAACAACAGAAAAAAACAAAAACAAAACAAAGGACACTTATGTCATTCTTCTTATGACTTTTTTTAGATGTAACAATAATAAAAAAATAATTTTACGAGATTACAAGAAGAGCCTAGTAGTTTTATTTATTTTTATGTCAATTTTTTTTTCTAGTTCTAGTTTATTTCTAAAAATGTTGTTACTGAGGTGGCTAAATGCCTTTATTGACCAGTCCTCATTTTTAGATTAAAGTGTATTCTGTGGTGCCTACATAGCAGAATATTTCGGTTGATAATCCCATTCTCATTTATTGGGTTTTTTTGGTATTAACATTTCTTTACGGTTGGATGATTCACCCTACTACTATTTAGTCATTGATAATTTTAAACAGCTGTCGTTAGGTCCCAAACGTATCCGAGATATTTGAAAAGTTGCGCGTCGTTTTCACACACATTTGCCCTGCGCCGTTTGTTGATAAATTTATTTATAATTTAGTTCAGCGTTCGCGGTGAAGTTGAATTTTTTATTTACTAGAAAACCGAGCCCGGAGTGTTGAAGTTCAAGTCGGTTGTGTTTACGATTTTGTTTGAGCGAACGAATATAAGGTAAGCGAAAATTGGGGCGCCCTTAGAATAACATGCAATTTATTCTAACCTCTATTTGTGTTTATAATTATCTTATCTTATTCTTCGATAGATAAACAAAGAAATATTTAATTTTAGTTAAGTGCTTTTAAATTTGTTGTTTTGTTGTTGATTTAATAATATTCATCGGTTCCAGTGATTGCGTGCACACCCCTTTTTATTTAGGGCAGGTCATCCTGTGTAGATAGACTAGTTAAGCAGGACAGAAAAAACGTTTATAAATTCTGATCGTGTTTGTTACATCACTTTTCCTTTTATTAACAGTTTATTAATGACGTCAGTACCTATTTATTATTATCATCACTGTGTAATTGATAAATTTATTAGGGTAAACTAGAATGGAAAATATATATTTTTTAATATCAAAGAATTAACCTAATAAACAGATAAAACGAAGGTGTTCTGACCATACAAGTTCACCTTAATTTGAAGGTCTTCGATTATAACAATCTATTAAAGATTAAGTCATTATGCATGCATTTTATGTAATAAATGAGTTGATTTTTTATCTTTAATTACTTCTATTATTATCAAGTTTATATGGAAATTTTAATCTGGTAAAATTATGGGTTTTATTTGTTGTTGTTTTTTGCGGGCAGCTCCTTTTTAGCCTCTTAGCCACCTACAGTATCCTCATTGATTTTATTTACTCCTCATAAACTTTTAAATTTTTCCAAAATATCGTTTAAAAAAAGTACTTATTTCCTGTGATACAGTGAATTAGAAACCGTATATTTTTTAAATGAAGGTATAAAAGGAACGCTTTATCTGCGTAAATACGCTCGAATGCTATTTAAATCATGAATGGGAATTTTAATTATTCTTTGAATAATAAAATAGTTCGATGCAGGAATAGCGTCTGCAACACATGTTGTGTTAACACAGTCTCAGTTTCAGATAAATAAACCAAAGGTGTTTAAACAGCGTCAATAGAATGACTAGTTATTTATCCAGCATCATGTTCCTATTGAACAGGGTGAAATATACTAATATAAATATCACTAATACTAATATAAAAACCTCCATGCAGTTGTTATTTAAAAAGAGTCGAGCTTTGCATGTTATTAGAACTTTTAAAAATGCACATAAAAATAGAATAGTTATCACAGCAAAAGTTGATAAATACATTACTCTGCATTCCGCTTAGCATTCGTCTGATCAAATGGAATGAATATCGCATTAAATGTTATCGTTTGATGTGAAATTCTATTTTAGAAATGAAAATTTTCGTATTTTTCCTAATGCAACCGTTTTACGTAAGAGCAATCGATTTTATTTTGAAATTCGTGTTCACGTCAAATTATGCAAAAGTTTTAATTGAAATCGATTGAATCGGAATAATCAATACGGGCATGTACCGACCTGTACCTTTCGTGATACCTCTTCCTTTTCGTAGTTTTTTTATTGAATAATATTTCACATTTTTTTCCTGGTATTATAAGACATGACCTGTAGTATACAGTTACTCGCTTTTGGTAAACAAATGTATTATTTAATTGAAATTGTATTGCTTCACGTCGTATATGGTAACAGAGAATAGAAGAAGTAGAACAGAAATGTGACACTAAAAACAGAGTTTGTTATGCTTCATTTCTAGAAAATACATTAATTATACAAATCTTGAATTTCTAATGACCAACGTAATCTTGTTAGTCATATCGTTTTACCAAATAAAAGTTATGGTAATGTGTTAATCATTGATATGGATATTTGCGTCGATGGTCATCAATTTATTGAATAATACACTAAAGATCTCTTCCAGACGTCCATGAACTTATCCTTTTTTCAACTCTGCTAGCGTTGAACCACTATTTTATTTTTAGATTGCGAATGCCAAACATTCACTCGTTTTATATTTACGTATACATGTGTTTACTTAGACGTCTTTTTCTCTTTTGTAATGGGCTGTTAAGATTTATTTAGGCTATAGTCGGACGTGTATAAATTGCTTCCACATTTTCACAAAGTAAACGCTTCTCGAGGTGCACCGTGGTTTTTCTGCACTTTTTTATAATGAGAAAGTGTACTGCTTATTTTTACGAAACGAATTGATGTTTTATAGAAATTTCTAACAAAACTGAACTCATTCCTACAAAGAAAATGGTTTTGATTCAACTAAAAATAATAATTAAGCTTGTAAGTGGTTAAAAAGTATTATTCTATTACATACATACATTTTGAGTAATATATTTTTGAAATGTAAATCTTAACTCATGCAACTTTTGGTGATAAAATTAGTGTGACCGTCTTCGTGATTTCACAAAGAAATTATGAATAATTGTTTGGTTTAATGATATTAATTAGAATAAAGGAAGCCTTGAATTTTTGGTGCGTATTGTATTTCTGTTGCTCATTTGAGTCACCAAAAGAACCTTGAATAGTACCTAACATAACTGTTTTACTTAGGTACCATCATAGTGAGTACAAACAGCAATTTGAATAGAACATAGGGGCGTATTTTATTTATAGGTGTACCGCTATTATTCCACATCTATTGAAATAACTTAGTTAACCGCATAGTGTTAACAAAAATAATTGGTTGTCTAATATATTTTATCAACGTAATACTGAAAAACGATGAAAGTAATGTGGCTTTTATCTAAAATCCAATTTAAAAATGTATTTCACGCTTCAACAATAATTCAGTCATTTTATTTACATTAACTATCAACAAACTTATTCTTTATACGTATTTTTAAACGTTACATATTAAAGTAAATCGTTTCTAAATTCACTAATTTGCTACGAATTAAACTATTGGAGGAATAAATTATTTAGAAAGTGTGTTAAGGACAATCCCATACAAAGTGGACAATTTTATTTAAAGTTCAGCTATATTTAATTGTAAATTATCGCAGCAATAAGAGCAATTGATTCATATTGTTTCTTTATCCTACAGAAATTTACTACGCGCATTAGAGATATACTATAATTCTATAATTACCTCATTTATTATATTTTTTGAAAGTTGCCTCTAATTCGTTTTTTAGAATGACTGAAACAGATCAAGAGCAGGTCGTTATGACCCCAAAAGGCAAAACCCACAATTCCACCACACTTATAATAGAAAGAAGAAAAGTAAATAAAACTAATGATAAAATGCACATAGCTGGTGGAGAACATACCGGAATTATCATAAATAAAGAGGCAATAACAGGTAAATTTCGATTGCAAAGGTAAATATTTTTGCAATATTATCAATCTAGTAATTAATCTATTACAGAAAATGGTGCTGCATCTCCTCCGCAGCTATCCCTTGAGTTCAGAGTGTTTCTAGTAAATAAAGAAACTGGTAAACATACGCAAGAATCGAGAACAATTCGATTCTGGTTCAGAGAGAATAAAATAATACAAGATGAAACTGACGGAGGACAAGCTGGTATTGCTCAAGATTTTTTTAGAGAATTGGTCAGTCCTCAAGAATTTCCAAGAGGTACAACTTAAGAGGAAGTAATTATTAATATTTCAAATATAATGTATGTTTTTTAGATTACGTCGGTTTCATAAAGAAAATCATGAAATTAATGCAGCATAATTTTAACAGTATAGTAAAGTTGGAAGTTGAATTGAAGCAATTAGAAGAACCAATTGAAGTACCTTCGAGACCCTGTAAGTATTTGACGTTACATGTATACAGGGTTTCCAGACAATAGATGTCAATAATTTTAGGTCTCTAGCTCAAAAATGGGAACCCAAATTAACATCTTTATGAAGGTGTACTCTTATTTTGATTTTATCGACGCTCCCGAATTGTTGACATCTATTTTCTCAACACCCTGTATATATTTTTATTGAATTTATTTAATGTTTTATAGCAAATGGATATTTCATTATTGATTTAGGGCCTACTGTAATTCCTGGTAAAATTTTGGTGTGAATTTAGCTGATTATTTTATTAACATTACTAATATTATTTTTTTAGTAAATATTTCAATTAATTCACTAATGTAGGTTTGAAAGCATACTAAGTACCAGAAAATAGAAATTTTAACAGTGTTTTAGTGTTGTAATAAGTCATATTTACCATAATTGGTACATGTATTAAATGTTTTTTTTTATTTTAGTATCATCTGAAGAAAATTCGTTGGGTCACATTACTGTCCTTACAGTCGAAAAAGTGCTAGAAATAGTTGAATCATCATATCCAAATCCTGTTACCATAAAAGATATTGCTAAGTGAGTATGGGATAAAAACCATCTATTACCTGACGATTAATTCATCATTTTTAATCTAGGGAAAATGGTTGGGACGAAGAAGAGGTCGCCCAATGCGTTTCGGCCCTTCAATCTCGCCAACTGGTCAAAGCCATGGAACATGGTGCTTTTACTCGTCAGCAATCGCACGATACACATCAGGTTACTATCGTCAAGCAAATGCCAAATGTGGCGAGCTCAAAACAGCCTACCATTGCCATTATAACTGCACAATATTGCGAGAAAATAGCTGTTGATGCTATGATTGAAAATAAGGAGACTTTCGTGAGATACACAACTGTTGGTAAGTTAACAATTTTAATTTGACAATTAGTTGCATATTTAACTATTACAGAATGGTAAAAATTGCTGAAATTGACAGTTTTAATACAATTTACAGATTTTAATTATCTTCAGTTTCGGTACTTGATTCACTATCGCTGGAAGAGCTGTCTATATCCTCACTTGATTCCGAAGAAGAATCGTCACTTTCCCCACTTTCTGCCAGAGATATTGTCAAATTTTCCATTTTACTCTCCAATGAGTAATTCTGTTCTATTTCGCTCAAATTAAGTCCTAGTTCCTCTTTTTCAATACTTATTCCATCTACATCTTTCACAAATTCTCTCCATTTAATCTTGTCCCAATTCATAATGTATATAATATAATCCTTAATAAATAAATTGTTTAAAATATATCTGCAACAATCTCCTCCGAGGAATATATAATATATTTGAATAAGGCATTTTATTACATATTTCTCGTTTAATTTTAGTATGTCTTTTAAGTCTTTTAAAATTGCTAAGCACAAATCGTAATTTCTGTATAAAGGATAAGTAACACTTCTTCTAAACGCCGAAATTAAAACTTCTTTGGGAGATTCGAATACATCTAACCAACAAAATGTTGCTGCTAATTTAGCGATGGTCCAACCTGATTCTGATGTTGGTTCGAAAGAAGTAGTTCGAGCGTCATAACAATAACTAAACAAAATATCTATCAATCCGTTGAAGACGTATTTAATTTGAGTATCAGACAATTTGTATTCAATGTTTGGTAAATCTTTCAAAAAATCCAATTCTTTGTTAGTGAAAGTGATGTCATCGTTTAAACCTTCCCAAGGTGATTTCTCCTTTATTAAACCCAAAATTTCTTCATTGTCGATGAAATCTGCTAAGTAATGTTCCATGTCGAATTTTCCTTGTTCGTACTGTATTCGTAGTTTTTTCCTCGATTTTAAATCAACTTCGTTGGGATCAATTTCAAACACTTCACTGAATTCCGAGCTAACCGCTACAAAATTTTTGTGGCCCATCAGCGCAAAACCGAATCCTTGCGATAATTCTTCATTATTAATTAATGTCGCTTCGTTATCGATCACTAGCACTTTCCTATCTTCGTAGCTGGTTTCCACTTTGTTGACTAAAAACTTCGTTATCAAGTCGAGGTCCTCGAAATTTTCCCCATATTCCGCCTTGTCGTACGTAAAAGTAAATTCTCCGGTATCGGAATCGAACGAGCTCTTGTAGTTATCGTTTTCGACGAGTTTACCTGGTAGAAACAGCCGCAGGAAGTAAGGCTTGCAGAAAAATAAAAATACGTTTTCGTCGACTTCTACTTGTAGTTCTCGCAGCGAACAGTACGGTGCTCTAATTTCTACAGTTAATGACTTTTCGTCTTGATTCAATTTAAACCTCGGCGTTATCATGTTTTTAAATTAAATTTTCTGAACACAAAGAATTAAGCATAACCTAACTTTTAAACATCTACCATGTTTTATTTTAATTGTCAATGTCAAGTGAATGTCACATTCTTCTTTGTATTATGTTTCGTTGCGGAGACTTTTACCTAGTAGTACATAGGTAAGAAATACATTATGAATTAAATAAATTATGAGTGAATATGAAATATAGGTCCATCCAGTCCTACGGGAGAAATGCCAAGGCCCAGATTCGGTAAGATAAGATTGAAAACTGGGTACATTTCACTAGTTCACCGCCGTTATGGGTTGTTTTTGTGCACATTGTGATGTTTTTCATTCACTTTATATCACTACTTTTGGTCATTCACTGATATATGTCCACTGTTATCACTGTTTTGTATACCATACAAATGCTTCAATGCATTCAAAAATCTACATATGTGATAATGTATTCACGATAATTCGAAAAGGTACCGACAATATACTTTGAAACTTTGTATAAATTCGCTTTTATTTTGCCAAAGTAATAATTAAGTTTACTTGTGTAAATTAACCCCTGTACTCATATATCCTTATCCATGTTTATAATTAATAAAAAAAACCTATTGTGTCGTTAGTCTTCTGTTGATACTTTTTTGAATCACTACACGCTTTAATTTTGGAGTGAGTTTGGTTTAGATTATCCAACTTTCTTGTACTAAAAAAATGGCTAATCTACAACAAACTTTGATATTTCATACTACAATAGAGAAAACACTACGTTTAACTTTTATATCTACAGCATACTAGTGATATACAGGGTGTCACGCATAAGAACCTACACAGAGCAGGGCAGCCCAAAATAGGTTGTTTAAGCCAATTTAACTTAATACAAAATTACATTTCGCAGAAGTTATAGGAATTCAAAGTTACAAATTAAAAAAAATATATATCTCAGTAAAACTCAAACTTAAAACAACTAAATTTCATATACGTTATGAGTTATGAGTGTACAAAGAATAATAATTGATAGAGTTAGGAGAGACCGATGATTGATTTATTTTAAAGAGTTGATGATCCCTTAATGAATGATTTAAAAAATTCATGGGTATTTTCATTTATAAACATTTTTTTTGTTTTTTTTTTTTAATTCTTTGTCTTTTGATAAAAAACGCTAAAAAATAAAGTTATGTATACTATCAATGTTACTTAAAATAGATCGCTTTTCAGAGTAGCCAAACTTCAAATATTTTTAAAGCGCCGCGTCCTTTTCGTAAAGGATCGTAGTAATATATTAAAGAGGACACTTTAGCTTAATGTCTCCTAAATGATACTTTATTAACGTTTTGTTATGAAATCGGCCGTAAGTTAAAGTTGAGTTAAACAACATATTTTATGCTCCCCTACCCGCGTCTGCTCTGTTTTAGATCTTATGCGGGACACCCTGTATTGCTATAGCTAAGCGTAAGAAATCGCACATACTTGATGTACATTTTAAAGCAGCTTTGTTCCTAATATTTTTTGAATAGTACACAAAACTATAGTCATTGTGTAATAGAAACATTTCAATGCGGAAGTATCCTCATCACAACTATACTGACTAGTTCTTGAACTGGTCCTCATTGGGAACACTAGCTTTCAATTTTACTAGTACATTTAACGTTACTGTACAGTATTTGTTTAAATTCGTTAATTATAAATAAGTGCTATTCATGTTTGGGTTACTATTTTTTGCGTACGTAACAGTTCGTTAAAACAGCTGTTAATTTTTAGGAGAGTCGAACGTTTACACCCTTGGCAATATCGGTGCTCATCGGATCGTTTGTACCAAGTTACCGTCTGTTGGTCACACCCGAGAAGCCATGACAGCTGCAGGGAACACCACCACAAGACTGTTGGGTACCTTCCAGAAGGTAGATTACGTATTTTTAGTAGGAGTTGGAGGCGGTGTTCCTCACTACACCGATTACAACAAGCACGTTCGACTTGGCGACGTGGTCATATCATCACCGGTAAAAAACAAGTAAGAAATCCCCTCATTACTAATCAATTTTAGTAAGTATAATCTGAACTTTCTTAGGAACATTTACTTCTATTGCGAATCGGCTAAATCCACGGAAAAGGGCAACGAATTCGAAATTAAACCGTACGGTCCTACTGATGTGAAGTTGCAAGAGATAGCCACGCAATTGAAAACCGCAACGGACAAAGACAGCGGCGCTACGCCGCCTTGGATGAATTACATTCGAGACGGTTTGAACATTTTATGCAGCCAACAAGAAGAGTCCGATTTCAAAATGCCCCACTCTGACACCGACAAATTGTACATGAGCATAGGCGAGAAAGATTTAATTGAAGTTGCGCATCCTGTACCGTTAGATAATTCTAAAAAGAGGTAAGTTTTCTTCGGGTTTTCTAATTTCATTGTCCTGTAAGATGTATATGTTATTTATACTTTAATGTGACCATTAACACAGTTTTGTCAATATTTAAATAAAGGTCTGAAAAACGAGTGGAAATAAGAAGATATCATTCTGTAAGGCCAGTTGTTAACAGTTTTAGAAGACCTGTAAAAAGCGTATCGTTCAGAACGCCTCGTACGATTTTAAAGAGAACATTCATGAGGTTGTGCTAGTAGTTATTCACAAATTATGTATAAGTAATTCGCAATTATACGTAGATACAATTTGCTTCATCAATTCAATCATCGTTTTTCTAGCACTCTTCACTTATTTAATGTGTACAAAAGAGAACATTGCACTTTTGATGGATTTGCATATTTACGAACGCAAATCTTGATTAGTACAGCATGAACAATTTTATACAGGGTTTCTCTAAAAGGTTGGGACATGGCATAACTGCAGACGAAAATAAGATGATTTATATCCAAAAGTATAATTACAAAGTAAAGAAGTTGTTAAAGTTGAAAATAAAAAAGAAATTTTTTGGCATTTGGCCAAAACGGTTGAAGACTTTTTCAAAAAAATTTGTACAGAAAATATTTGTTTAGTGACCTATTTTTGTGTGAAATTTTTGTTTTTATTATCAGACCGCCTCAAATTTAACGGGGGGTTCAACTCTCTTAAAGCCCTAATTCTTCCGCCCATGTTATTTAACTAATTTTTATATCAAAATCAGATTTATCAGTTTATTATATTAATCCCCATAGTTTGAATATTTTTAAACCTTTAGCACCTTTTTAAAATATTAAATTATTTTCAACAAAAATCTATTTATTAATCATAAAACTTGTAGAAAATGTTAATGGTAAAAACGAGACTTGATTATTTTTTAAAACCTGTTCAATATGGCCTTCATTATGAATAAATAGATTTTTATTAGAAATAACTTAATCTGTTAAAAATTCGCTCTGAAAATAATTTTATTATAAACAATGGGTAAAAAATTTTATCTCCAAAAATGTGGAGTTAATAGAAAACTACAAAGAGTAAAAAATCACTATAAATAAACCGATGAAATTAGTAAAAAATCTCTTTTTTATTTTCAACTTTAACACCTTATAACTTCATTACTAGGCACTTTCGCATATAGGAAAGTTAGGTTAAATCATTTTATTTCAGTCTCAGAAGTTAGTACTTAAGCTATGTCCCAAACTTTCTAAGACACCCCTGTATGTGACAATTTTATAAAAAAATTATTGTGGTAAAAATTCGTCGTATATTTATCCAAGCTTTGGTGTTTAGGACTTTACTGATTTTATATCTGTTGTAAATCTTATTTATTTATTGCAGACTTGAAGGTTGTCCTCGTATTCATCTTTCCACGGTGGCGTCGGGACGCCAGGTCGTCAAAGAGGACAGATTACGTCAGCAGTTTGCGAATCAAGTAGGAGCATTGGCGTTCGATTGTGAATTTGATACGGTCATTGAGTCGATTTTGGGCAATTGCAAAGATAGCTTCATCATCATCAGAGGAATTTCTGATTACAAAGATGGTACCAGAAGGAAAGAATGGCAGCCATACGCTTCTTTGGCGGCCGCTAGTGTTATGAAAGCTATTATTTGCGGCATGGAAAATTAATAATTTTAGGTGTTGTTTTAGGGAATCGATTTTAGCTTGTTTCTCCAAAGATTTGAAACTTTTGTTGTCGTTTTTTTTTATAATTGGTCGACAATAGGATTTAATTCTTTAATATCCGGTGTAATTTTAACTGTAACGTGTTATTCAAAAGCTTACCATGTACAACGTATTCACGATTTTTTTTTATTTTTATGTAATTTGTTTTATTAACGTGACCTTAGCATTATAATCTTCAAAGGCTTTTAGATATGAAAATTATCAACGAAAATTAATTAGAGTGGACAAAATTAGATTAGCATAGAACGTTTCCAAATTAATTTATTTAAACATTCCTTTTTCATATTTTAGACAATGTAAGAATAAATCTAACTGCCATATTTATAGAGTTAAATCAAAATAAAATTAAAAAATTTAGTAGGATGAGATACTTGATTGTTAGATGTTATAATTATCTTTTAATAAATTTCACAAAATAATTTTTTAAAGAATTGTTCCAAAGTATCTTATCTAGTACTACTAGCATTAAAGAAACTTGGTGATTGCACTAGAAGTAACATTTAATTAAAAACTTGATGACTATAGAACGTTACACTAGATTTAACGGGGTTAATAAATCTGGTAAGCTAATAAATTAAGAAATGTTTAATGATATTCTAAATTTTACGAAAGTTACCGAAAATTAGTGATCTAAAAATGGTATCTAATTTTATCAGAGACTGTATAGTAGGTAGCACATTGATTTTAGAGAGATTTTATTACTTATTATATTTTTTTCATTTGCAATATTGTGATATAACTTTTAATTTGGCAACTTATTTTAATGTCGTACACAATAACTAATCAAAGTGCTACTGAATTTTAAAGTATATTATATAAATATGTAATTAATATCACAATTACTAAACTATTAAGTATGAAACGATTTTTTTAACTTGCCATATATTCATTCACATTGATTTAAAAAAAATAAAAGTAGGTCTACAATTGGTCTACTACTTATTGTAATGGTTTTATGTGTTTTTGTAACTATTTATTTGATTTGTTTTGTATAAAAGAGAGTAATATATTTTATTTGTAGTCGAATTCATTTTTTTCTTCCCTTTCAATCCATATTATGCGGTCTACCCAAATTTATTTAATACAGAGTATTAATTTTTTAGTTAGCAAGTTTTTGAAAATTGACCCTTCACGAAGCAAAAGAAAAAATGTTACTGGTAAAAGTTTTATTGTATTATTAACAGAACACCATGTGGGTAATTCAATTTACCGAGTATTAGGGAAGTACTGTAATATGTTTAAACGTAAATTACCCGTCATCAATATGCAAACAAACGAAAAGATTTTATTAGTATATTATACAGGGTCCTCCTAAACATCATGCACATCCCAAAGAGGGTAATTCCTTGGCTTATTTTATGACTAAAAGTTCATATAAACGTAGGTCCGCAAACGCTTCGTTACTGATCTACAGGCCGGGTGTTGTAATTTCAAGATTTTTCTTGTTTTTTTTTTTCTTTATAACTCCTGCAGTTTTTGAGATATGTAGCTCAAATTTGGAATCTAGATTGCGTTATATGTGGCATAGTGGCATACATACTTGGGTATGTCAAATGGTTGTTGAATTCTACAGGGTGATATTCTGTGCGTATGATTTATTTTAGAATACAGAAGCCCTAAATAATAATTATTAAACTACAATATAACAAATGTTGAAGTTGATCGATGCCGCCTCTCCTACTCAAATTATACTCTAAAAAGAAAGAGGAAAGATTGTAAGAAAGAGCTTACAATTATCCATATTGCTCAATGCCTAAAAATACAGAATGATCCATTTGAAATAATTTTATGGCCACTTTAAGTTAGCCATGTTTGCCAGACAATTTTAAACGCTTTGTATATATGGACCACGAAAACCCAGTTTACTTTCATTTAGTACACATTCGATAAAAAATACATTCGACCGTTTTTCCAAAAAAATCCGAAAAAAAAGGAAATATAACTTATAAATAATATATTTTTGGCATATTGTTTTATTATTAGTCTAGTTAAAAAAAGGTCACAGAATCCAAAAATGGTTCTTTCCATTTAAAATAATGAAGTTAACATCTATTTCCGGTATAACCTTTACACATAATGGTTGAAAATATTTTAGATAAACTCACAACATTGACTATACGTTACTCCTAAATTTTCAGATTCATAACTCTTCACGATCTCCAAAAAGTTCTAATGCACGGCTACCGTGAAAAAACCCTGTATAAATATACTTAATTGGACGACGAAATACATATGTAGGTAGACCGATACCATCCATTATACTCATGAACATTAGTTTTTATTTATTTATTCAACGAACTGCTAAAACTAGTTTAATACACTTTATTTTTTAAAAGAAAACAAACCTACTACAAATTTGAATAAAGTACATTTTATACTATTTTTTTACTGAAAAAGTACGTTGCAAACAAAGGGAAAAGGGTCAAAAAAATATTCTATTAATGTTAGTTTTAAGCAACAACGTTTAATCCTCACATTGCCTTATAAAATATAAAAAATACAATTTATTTCTGCCCGCTTTGAGTGCTAGATTTACTGTCGCGCATACTGGCAGATCTACGCCTCTTGAGCATCTCACGACGCGCCTTCGACTCCTTCTTACGTTGGGCCAGCAACTTAGCGTAGGTGTCCTCTAGTTCCTTACGTTTGATGCATCTCTTCTTTTTCAGCGCCAAACGATGACGTTTTCTCTGGAGGACCGTCGGGGTGATCAGACGCTGGATTTTCGGAGCCTTGGTTCTTGGTTTCTTACCTGAAATTAAATAAAACATTTCATTACATTTTACAATCAATATAAGTACAATATTCCAGTTTTTGTTAATGAAGGTTTTGAGATAAACATGGAAATGAGGCAAATTTGAGTTCCAAAACTTGACAAGAGTAAATATGTCATAAAAAGATAGCCAAAAATTGGAAATTTTAAGATTTCATGGGGCCCAAATTGGAATGAAGAGTACCTCCTACTTTTACAAATTTTCTTTAAATCTACTGTAGAAGTTAACAAAGCTACTACAGTTGAAAACAATCAAATACCTGTATACCTATACAATACATATATTTATGTTCTAAATAACTAGTTAACGATGTACATATCTGAACCTTTATCCGATTCAAATAGTTTATCGAGAAGAGTACTATTTTTTTATTTACCTTCTTTGGCCGGCAATGGACGTTTAACAACGTATTGACGAACATCATCTTCTTTGCTGAGATTGAACAGCTTGCGGATCTTCGAAGCCCTCTTAGGCCCCAAGCGACGAGGGATGGTATTGTCGGTAAGTCCAGGGATTTCTTGTTCACCTTTTCTTACAATAACTAAGGCCAAAACGGAGAGGTTTCCGTCGACGATGCAGCCGCGAACCGATTTTCGCTTGCGTTCACCAGTACGCCTGGGTCTGTAGCAAGAGTGACCCTTCGATAGCAAGAGACGTACCCTACCGTTCGTCAACACTCCCTGTTTCATAGGGAACCCTTGCTTGTCGTTACCACCTGCAATTTTAAGGATATAACCTTTCCATTCGTCACCCAAGGCATCGGCCTCTACTTCTTGGCCCATGCGTTTCTCGTAAAAGATACGGATCTTGTGCTCGTCGACGACTTCGAAGAGCTTCTGACAGCCCGTAGCCGGGAACGAAACGTTCAACTTCATTTTTGATCAATTTTACACACGAAAACCGTTTTCTCGAATGATATTTTCACTGAAATCGGGAAATTATTCTCGTCAGTGTGCACATGGAAGAACTGCCATGTTTCAAAAAGGATAAGGTAGGAAAACTTTTTATCGACGTCGAAGGAAATAGACCGTGCTGCCATCTACATGACACTAGACAAATGTCAGAAACGGAAGTGGAGCATTTTTCTTCTTTTTATATCTATGACTTTACGGTTTAACAACCACTTTTTTAATAATAAATTTATAAATTTTTATCTAATACACTAATTTACCAGCTTTTTAACGAATAAATTCTTCTTAAATTATTAATATTTAGACATATTTACAATTTAAAAATAAAATAGAGATGAAACATTCCGTTACACACCCCTTTCGTTGTATAATTAAAATATTCCAAACCCTTTAATACTGTTCATAAAAATTAACACATTATTTGCTTATTACTCCTTACTTCCCTGTTTTCTTATAAAACCTTATTTCGCAACAAAATATTAAATTTGAATTTTTATTAAGTAACCGTTATTTAACAGTGTAACGGTACCTCTACTTCCAATTTTTACCAAGCCGTCTGCTCCCCACCCTAAAAAAACGAAGAAAAGAAAAAAACATAACCTATTAAGTTGTAAATTGGGTTTGTTGTTGGGAGTTTTTGTCACGTTAAATTATATTTAATTGGAAGAAACCTTTTTAAATGATCGTAGCAGTAATATGGTTAGAGTCAAGCTAAGGTAACGACTGCAATTTTTATTACATCGCAATTGATTCATTGGAACTTTTGTTACAGGTATATCGTTGTAGAAATAAACCCAACGAGAAAACAACAGAGTTCGGAGTTTACTGTGAAGCACGTATCTATTTTCCAGGCTCTTGCAGACCAAGTGCAGAAAATACACGGTGATTTTGGTGCGGCTGCAATACGGGCGGGCTTTGTAGTGAGATACATAAACGAGCATACGAGGATTGCATTCATTCGAGCTAGGAAAGGACCTCACCGTTTCGTCACTTCAGTCATACCCCTTATTAAAACCATAGAAGGAAAAGAAGTATTCATAACTACCTTATACACAGGAGCTACTTTAAGACAGTGTTACATATACTTGAAGCAGTACCAGCAAAAAAAATTGGACAAATTTTGCAGTACTTTAAACACCGAAGAAGAAAAGAGCCATTTAAAAGAGGTTATGCTAAATTTGGACTCGTTTGTTAATGCGATTCAATAAACATGTCTACAACAATTGCGACCTGTGCCGATGATGGTACAAACAGTTCGAACCGGTCGAGTTTGGAAAAGATCGAGAGCTTCATTAACGAAGCAGCCTATAAAGAAGCACTCGAAAATTCCAGCAATTACAACACTAGACTCAACATTGAACGAAGGCTACGCCTTCCCTTTATCGATACTCAGACTGGCGTTGCTCAAAATCATTCTTCCCTATTCATGGATAGAAGACAACGAATCCCCGGCCTACTACCCGGTCAAATATACTCCTATCCGAGACAGAGGTGGAGGAAAAAGAGACGTCAATATTTGTTGATGAATGCGAGACCTTTCCGAGCTGATTACTTGTTGAACGGAGCTGAAGGCGACATTCACAGCATATCCCAGATGGAGAATCCCGCATTGCAAGATACGGATAGCAAAGACAGCCACGACGTTCCTAAGGAATGGTACATCGACGAGTTAGAAATGGACGCGTACGATGATCACGATCCCGACTCCGATTTCGACTACGAGGAAAGCTACAGCAAAAGACGACGAGGTAGAGGTCGAGCCGGAAGAGGTCGCAGCAGTTACGATTCGCCCGGAACACCCGGCAGGAAAAAGGGAAGCGGCCGCGGCCGGGCGAAGAAAACCGGTCACAATTTCGATACTATTCCCGGAGAGCCAGAGAAACCTCCCACAGTCGAACCTCGCACGCCGGGACGTCGAGGACGCCCGCCAAATCTCCCTCCTAGTTTACCCCCTCGGCAAGCTTCTCCACCGCCCGAGGATCCCCAAATGCCTGTACTCGTAGCAGAAAAAGCTGCGAGTTCCTCTTCCGTCGAAGCACCTACAGAAACTCCAGGTAATTATGCCCGTTATTGAATCTATAGTAAAACTAAATACTACTCTTAAGGTCCTTCAGGTCCACCAACCGATCCGTTGAAGAAGGGTTCGAGTCCGTATTGCGACTTTTGCTTGGGAGATTCGTCGGAGAACAAGAAAACAGGCGTGCAGGAAGAGTTGGTTTCTTGCTCGGATTGCGGGAGATCGGGGCATCCCAGTTGTTTGCAATTCACCGATAACATGAAGATATCGGTGAAGACGTACCGCTGGCAATGCATCGAATGCAAATGCTGCTCCGTTTGCGGGAACTCGGAGAACGACGATCAATTGCTGTTTTGCGACGACTGCGATCGCGGGTATCACATGTACTGTTTGACTCCGCCGTTGGTGAACCCGCCAGAGGGATCTTGGTCTTGCAGAGTGTGCATCGATAAGTTCCATAGACCGTAGTTGGTTTGTACTTTTCATTATTATTTGAGTTCGTTTCGCTGAGGAAAACATGATGATTATTTAGGACTACTCTGTTTCTGTTTTTTAAATCGGGTGGAAGGAAATTTTCTTGGATTGTCTGTTAAGAAAAAGAATTTGAATAACGATTGTAATTGTAAATATTCCCACTGATATTTAGCTGTATCTTTTTGGCATAAGTAGAGTCAAATTATTTTGTATATTTGGGCCGAATACTGTAGACTTCACAGGTGCCTCATCGGATATAGTAGGAAGGCAGGAAAAATACGTTAGACTAACTTGAAATATTTTCATTTACAATTTTTCAGTCAGGAAGAGCTTCCAGCTTATAATATATTATAAGATGCAGCTGATTGTAGATATAAATATGATGCTATGTGCATCGTATTTCTTGGAGAACATTTCACCTGCAAAAATATAGACAGTACTTGACTCCATGTAATATGATTTATACTAATTCTAACATACTGTTCCTTGGCTAATATTTATTTTATTAGAGGCGAAATAACAATTTAATTGAAAATCGGCTACAAGAATTTGATTTGGTAAATTTCGTAGGAATTGTAATCCATAAATTGGCCAATATTCTTTTTTATACCGGGTGTATCTAAATAACACCTAAAAAATTTAAGATGGGTGATTCTGTGATGAAAATTAAAGTGGATACTTGGTGTAAAATTTTTTGAAATAACCATTTTTTTACATGTTAAATGCTATTTAACTTGAGCTTGCAGTACATTTATTTTTTTCTCTTAATGCTTAAGTTTTTGAAAAAAAACTTGTAGAGGGCTTTTCAGCCATATCTTTTTAAAAGAAAAAGATTTCCCAAGTTTTGTATCTTTAGCTTAATGTACAGGAAAATAAAGAAGAAAAACCATTTTTTTAATCTTCGAAGGACTATAACTTTTCCGGGGAGCGTTTTTTCAAAAAATTTTATACCAAGTACCCACTGTAAGAATTACCCCATAAATTTTAGGTGTTATTTAGGTTCACCCTGTATATTAGATTGGCTTGGAAAATAATTGTAAATGCATGTAATACTTCAGATTTAAATTCGTTATTAGGTTATTAGAGACATATATTTTTATAAATCTATCGAAAATTTCACTTTCAATCTCAAAGATATAATTAGCATTGTTTTCCGGAAATTTCGTTTAATTATTTTAGATACATTTAAAATATGGCACTTACTTAAAATTGTACTTAAAATAATTGCCGAATCTATTTTGAATGCCCGTAAGTAAAAATGTACATATTTATTTGATTTCAGAACAATTATCTTTTTAATGTATAATTAAAAATTATTAGCTTTTCCGTTCAATGAAACATTTTATAGAATTTTTAATATTAAGCACACTTAAATAAAAGTAGTGAAGAGTAGGTTTTTTTATTATTTAATGTATTTTTAAAACTAAAATCATTCGTTTGATATTTAAAGTATTAAGAATAAGTTAAGTTAGGTATACTTTTTATTTTACATTTTATTTTTTAGTATTATTGAAAAACATAAACAAATATATCCTAAAGTGCTAACAAAAGAAACTTATTCTAGTATGAATATTAACGTAATTAGATAATTTTGTATTTTTGCAGCTAAGCCATTTGTTTACAAAAGCCTGAAGAATAATATAAGAAATTTTTTGTAAGTTTTCTTTTCCTCTCTACGTAAATTTGTAGTTCTTTTACCGATATTGTCTGTTGTTTACTTGTAATTTTGTTTGTCTTACAATCTCTAATAAACTGATACCTATTTTATCCTATTTTTATCCTTATTCAAAAATCTCGAAATATCTACATTAAACACGTTTCATTAAAGAAATATATTACTTACTTTGAGTATAACATAATTTATAATCTATCTAAACAAACCTAAATAATATGTAAAAATTATAGTGAATTCCGAATGTTACTATTAGATCTAAAATCTTCATTACGCTTTCCTTCAACTTCAATCTACAAAACTTGACTCACTCGCAGACTTTATGAAGACGTTCTAAAAAATAAATAAAGCAATTATGAGGCGAATGTTCTCCAAATGTATTACGTTTAATGTGTCTACTGATTTAAGCGAATCAATTAAAAAAGCAATGAAAAACCATGTAAATTATATTTAGGTAGGTATAAACTTAAAAATTATTGCTATAATACTTCAAAGTCACTGCCATCAAACATGAAATGCCCCTCCACGTGATTTAGGAATTCCTCGAATTTGACTTCCTTTTTGAAGAGCTGGCTGCAGATGGGGCAAATTTTTTCTATATTTTCTGGTGCCAGCGAACTCGTCTTTACTGAGCTATCTTCGCCTTGAGGCGAATGATTTGTTTCAGTACATTTATCCATTCCGATTTTCGGTATATCGTCAGTCGAAGTAGTTTTTTCAACTCTGGATTTGTTTCTTTTATCACATAATTTACAAGGAATTGTTTCTGAAAAAATAACAAGTTATTCCCTTGTAAATTGATAATATCCTTGTATTACTTATAGATGCTAAACATTCAAGTTGTGTAACACTTTTAGTCAGAGCCATCTTTTGCAATAGAACTTCCTCTCGGAGCGCCTTTAAATTCTCCAAAACGCCGTTACATTCTTCATTAACGTCATCTTCCATGCTCTCATCGAAGCAAAACCCATAGTTTTCTGTAATAATTTCATCATCACATTGCATTTCTGTGATTTCAGAGCACATTTTTTCCAGTTCCAGTTTTTGCTTCGAGAAGCTGTCCATTAATTTCAAAGAAATATTCTCCAACTCCAAGCTAAGGTTTTCGTTCACTTCAAGATTGCTCTTTTGAGGCGAGTGCTTCAATAGCGGGTTGTTCTGGGTGAAAGTTTTAGATCTATAATTAAAATAATTTTTAGTGTAAATAACATTTCGAATAAAGTTCTTACCTTATGAGAGTTGGAGGATTAGTATGACGGTTCAATGTCTCATTAATTTTATTAAATTGCTCGTTTAAATTCTTGTTAACGCTTATCAATTTTCCCAATTTCGTCCAAAGGTCCTGATTTTCGTTCGTAACCATTTTAACACGTTCTTGCAGCTGGTCTCTTTGTTCAGTTATTTCACTAATTTGTCCTTTGAGGATATCTAACTCGGTTAAGGAACGTTCAGTCTCCTCGTTCTTGCTACATGCTGTTCGAAGTATAATGTTCTCCTCTTCGAGGAGACCTACTCGTTTTTGCAAAGCCTTGCATCTGTCCCGTAGAGTTTGAACTGCTATTTGAATAGCATAGTGGGCACCCACAGATTCGTCCATTGTTATTTGTTTATCGCTTTTATTTGCTTAGATGAACTGAATCTACGACATAATTTTTAATATTTATCTTTACTTCAATGCAATAGGGGATTTTTGGAATTATTGTTTACGTCATATGGATAGGACACGAGATGATTTTAGTAACACGCAATCGTTTTGGTTCCATTAATTTATAGAGAAAGTAATTAACTGCTTACCTTTTCATAGTAGTGAATAAAAAATGTAATTGTTAAAGAAAAAACATAAACAAACTGAAACAATCATTTGAAGTTTGTATGGGAAGGGGGAATTGTTGACTTGTCATCTTGACAATTATGACCTTGACACTTGTTAACTTTATTCTTCTCTTTGTTAAAGTATAATGACTTGTATAGAATTCAGCCACTGTTCAGATTTACACTATACATAAATGCAATTCTGCAAAATATACTCCCTGTATTTATTAAAATTATAATAGAATTAAATTGGTAGGTATTTCTTTTTAGAATTATGTTCGTTTTCAAACAATTTAAATTAATCGTTTTTTATTTAAAGGTACTCGAGTTTAATATGTTATCATTTTATAACGATTTTAATTGATAAAACAACTGTAGATCCATCGTGTATCCAAAATCATTCATAATTACAATTACAAAATGACTAAATTATTATTTTTAATTGCAAAACAAATCGTAATTGGGATAGTGCTAATAACAATGGTATGTTAATTGTACATCCAATCAACTATAATTATTTTTTATCGTTTGTAAATAATTTTAATCTAGTTTATTTATCAAATAATAGATAAAGTACACTTACTCAAATCTGTTATATTTATGTTTTAGGTAAATTCCAATAAAATCGGAACGAATTTAGATAACAAAAAATCAGACCTCGGTTTCAACTTTAATCCGAAGACTTTAAATATCGAAACAGTTTCGAATTGGTCGATATCTGTATATTTAACCGGTATTTCTCCCAGTAACGACCAAAGACAGCACGCTGTTATTGTCTACGATATTTCCGAGGTAATTGTAAAACATGGAGATAATAAGTGGACAGCAAACTTTTACCTAGGAAATTCGGAAAATGTGAGCATGTACACAGAAGAACCTATTAATTTTTATCGAGAGATAAGAAAAACGATTACATCGGAAAATAATACTGTGAAGACTGATTTATTAGTAAGCAATACTGAAATTATTATGTGTAACGTCGATTTTAGTAACCTAAGCATTCCATCGGTTTTTGACTATAATGCCACAATTTTAACACAAATTAGTATTACTTATCCGAGTAATAAAAACGTTGAAGATATTAATTTGGAAGATCATTCAAATTACGTGGACTCGTTAAGGGAAAATTTATTATTAATCGGAGATTTCAATCGTATTAACGATGGATTTCAGTGCGATAGCAGCGGTTGCTCCAGTGATATTGATACATTAATTCAATACGAATATTTCCCATTAATTGAAGATATTCAATCTGTTAGTGTAAAATCCATTCAAACCAAGACTGGTCACAAACAGGATGTTACTAAAGATACTACGACATTGGTTTATAATACGGAAATGATAATTAGATTGGTCATGAGCATTCATTATAATGATACCATTTTGGATGATTTAAGTAATTATAATTAATAAATGTGTTTCATGAAAATATATTTATGAGTTTTATTGATTATGTAGGTATAAAGTATGCACGTTTCAGAAAGTGTGACTATTTTGATATAGGAATGTTAATTAAAAAAACAGACTTGAAAATTTTTTAAATATAGCTAATAATGTGTCTATTTGGGAAGATCATCGAGGCGTATAAAATATTTAATCACCATGTTTTCCATCCTGATCTTGATTGCGAACTTGTTTCTCTTAATTTTCCCAAGACATAGGGACAATTTAACCAACTTCGCAACTCTCCCTTGCCCACGGATTCCACACAACCCCGTAACATTTCACATTTGACAGTCCGTCCTGCGCGCGCCCTTCGCTCCGTATTGATCACCCCCTTCTTGTATGACTCAGTGGAAACTTCTATCCGAAAAACAGTTCGTCGGAAAATCGAGGAAACCGCTATTTTCCTCTTTTCACCACTTCGGTTGAATATCGGATACAGTGCATTGGTGATCAATCGAGAATGGCCGAGGAAGGCCCCCAAATCAAGCCTGTACAAAGCGGTGAGTAAATTATATCGTCTATTTGATTTTGTGTAAAAATTGGTCAATAACTTGTAGGAGTATCTATATAAAAGTTGTGCGTCTTATACTATAAAAAAATCAATTAACACATCTTATATCGAGATGCTATTGCGTCGTATTAAAACAGTTTCTTATACGAATGAATAGAGGGTTGAGAGTAATTTCCAATTAAATATGTCTGGCATCAGCTGCAGACGTTTTCGATAATTTCTTAAATTATTTTTTTGCTTCGTTAAATTCCTCGACTTATTACCATCATGCATTTTGTTTCAGCAGCGTATACAAGCATAATTGGATTATGCTTGGGAGGATTGGTGTTCGGCATCCTCATGCTGGCGGTGACATGGTACTGTTACAGAAAACGAACGCAAAATTCCCACAAACGCCACGGCTCCGAACAGCCGCTGGCTTTCCACACTCACCGGAGACCGACGGCTGTCAAGAGCCCAGCCGGCGCTGCAGGAGGAACGCACTATTTGAAGAAGAGCCCCAGTCCAACTGGTCCCTCCAAGACACCGCCTGGAGTAAGTACACACCGTTCATTTTATGAGTCATATATTTTTATGTTACTACGATTATAGAGTTAATTAAGGAGTCTTCATCATGGGTAATGGTGATAGTATATCATAAATTTTTTAAATTTAGGTGCTAATGATCGATTATTACGATAAGGTTCGATTAGTCAAAATATATGAAGAGTGTGGCTTAATGGTATAGGTATAATCTTGCTTACCTTGGAAGGTAACCGTGAGAAATTATAAATTAGCTCATATGTAATTTAATAAAGAAGCAACTAGTAATAAGTCTTTAATAAATTGATAGCTACACTTACCCAAGTAAACCGGAATACAGCGACCTATTCAAGAATATTGCATCCTTACTAACACAATTTTATTTATCAATAATATTACTTTATCCTCTTTAATCACTCATTCCAAAAGGATTAAAACTTGATTTACCACTAACTGATTTAATTAGGTATTATGAAACGTCCCCGTCTTTTCAAAGCATCCATTATTAGCCTTTCAATAAAACTCACAAACTTCAATAAGGTTAACAATATTATACAGTATATCAGATATCCACGCGAAAGTCATCAGTCATTCTCTATTCTCTTTCCCACATTCCGTTCCCGGCTTTAATAGAAATTCCGGAATCCCTCTTTTTGTGATCGTGCCAAGCATATTGTTGTACATCTATGTAAGGACCTAAAAGGTTTTTACAGCTACATTCGCCGGGTAAAATGTGTCGGCGAGATTCGGGGCGAAATTTGAATAAAATTTTCGCCCACGTCGCTTCCCGAAACAAATCAATCACGACTAAATCTCTTTTTTATTTCATTATTCAGGAACTTCCCGGGTTCTTTCGAAAGGTATCTCCACTTGGATTTTTTTGAATATTACTAATTTTTTTATAGATGTCTACTCCTCATACTCCCAGTCCGACGGGTAGCGCTGTCGGACCGCTGGAGAGCGGGGTGATTAACAATCCCCATCATTTGGAGCCCAAACCCATGCAGGAACCAATAACCAAATCCGAAATACCTGTGACCTACAACACCGAAAACGAGAAGAGCGCTCCCCCGACCAAAGAAGAAGTCGAAACCAACGAAAAAAATTTGCAGCAGAACGTTGCTTACTTGGGCCAGTTGGTTTTCAAGTTAAGGTAAAAATTTGATGAACTTTTAATAAGGAATAGAATTGGTGGTTGTACGTGTAATATATTTTCTTTTACAGATACAAAACCGATAAAAACGCGTTGATAGTCTCGGTGGTGAGATGCCGAGATTTACCGGCGAAAGATAGCAGCGTGGGCTCGAGTGATCCTTACGTTAAGTTACAGCTCCTGCCGGATAAGCAACATAAAGTGAAAACCCGCGTGCTTCGGAACACGAGAAATCCCGTTTACGATGAAGATTTCACATTTTACGGCATTGGTATGTCTCATCTAATTTTCTCAAAAAATTCTATTTCCCACATAAAAATAAATTAGTAAAAATTATCACGAAACAGTCGGCGATTCGTAAGAAATTTAAATTGTGATAAAATATAGCTTAACATAAAGCGGAGTCTTATAAATTATGTACAACACTCGACAACAGTCGCAAACGTATCTTTTGAATTTTTTAGCAAAGCTAAATTTTAAGTTAAAAGGTTTTATTGCGCCACAAATCTTCACGCGGCAAATAAACCTCGCAGACAGACGTCAATTGCAGTAAATCTTAAAAAGTTTATTACGCTCGGGAGATAAAAGTAGACGTCTCTTGAATTTGTAAAAACGGATAGATCGTAAGTAATTTTTTCTAATCGTTACCAGGCTTTAATCAGCTGCAGAACATTACGCTACACTTCGTGATTCTGAGCTTCGACAGATACAGCAGGGACGATATAATTGGAGAGGCTTTCTGCGCTTTGAACTCGATCGATATTGCGCAAATAGAAACGCAGCAAATGGCAGTTTGCAGGGAAATCCAACCGAGAAGCTTGAAGGTTAAACTCTGTTAAAATAATTAGAATTAACTGGAGTTCATGAATATTCGCTTTTAGATACGTTCTCAAGGCAGAGGTGAGATTTTAGTTTCCTTATGTTGGCAACCGGCGGCTGGTAGACTGACTGTGGTGATCCTGAAAGCTCGAAACCTTCCTAAAATGGACGTTACAGGACTGGCCGATCCTTACGTGAAGATATATCTACTACACAACGGTAAGTAAATAAAAACATTACAATTGGGACTCTAATTATGGTGAGTTATAGGTCAACGAATTGCAAAGAAGAAGACGCACGTCAAGAAGAGAACTTTAGGACCAGTATTCAACGAAAGCTTCGTGTTTGATATACCTCAAGTAGGAGAAGGACTCGAAGGTGTTAGTCTAGAATTCTTGCTGTTGGACTGGGACAGGGTGACCAAAAATGAGGTGATATTTAAATTAATTTCATGGAGTTTATTGAACTATTTACTTACCCGTTTTTCATTTGGGGAACAGGTGATAGGCAGGTTGGATTTGGGAGGAGCAAAGTGCACCGGATCCGCTTTGCACCATTGGAACGAAGTCTGTAACTCACCACGTAGGCAAATAGCAGAATGGCACAAATTAAGGGAATAAACGTTCCCTTCATTTTAATAATAAGCAACCCTTAATTGACGATGTACTTTTAACTTTACTCATACTCGAACTATTCAAATTCAAATCAACTTTGACTACATGTACTTATTTATGCGCACTATTAAATAGTTTCCAGACATCTTTCACAAATTCATATGCATGTATATGACGTATTATTTTCTATCCAAGACTGTTCATTATCAATATCAACGATTAAGGAATTGATGAGAATATTAAAAAAAAGGTTGATTTGGATTTTTAATTTAGAAGGATATATTTAGAACAACGCGGTTCAGACGCGATCACACATTTTTGGTCCATAAGCTCTCTAAATTAAACAAACGCTCCGTTTGTTTCATATGCATATATGTTTTCTGGATGTAAACACTACTAAATGTACATTAAAAGTATTTAAGGGATAGGCGTTAGTTAAAATCACTGAAAGTGAAATGCTATGAATGTAAATAATTATAGTTTGTTACATTAAAATTATTCCTTTATTCCGAAAGTATTTGCGGAGGAGATGAAGAGTGATTCTTAGAAATAACATTTTTGATCTAAACAAATTTGATAATTCCTTGGGAAATGTTACTTAATTGGATTAATTACATAACAATACGGTTTAGACTAAAAATGGTTTCACAATGTGGTAACTTTAAGCTATTTTCTGGAAATATACGTACGATTAGCTCGGTAAGGGGCTCTTTTATAAGAAAGATTATGAAATTTGCTTTCATTATTATAAGCATTTATTTAAAAACTCTTAACAATTGTATTCTCTATGGCGAATAGACTATATTTCTTTCACTAAACGGGGCTAAATATACCTAAATTTACGAATTAAATGTTCATAATTATAGAAGTATTACATATTCAATTTATGGAACCATTTTGTACCTACATTTCCCCGAATTCCAAGTCTACTTTCATTCAATATGTAGATCAATTTAAACCTGCACATATCATAGTAACAAATATAGTCGCCATAGTAATACAATATTTGAGTATCAATTGTTTATTTTACTGGTGTTGTTGCATGCTAATAAACAATTCAGAAGAGATAAATAAAAATAATAGGATGTATAAGTATGTATTAGACTTAAGAATTTTGAAGCTTTCAGCCTAATTAAGCCTATAGTGTTAATTTTTAGTATTATAGAGCATGGTTATAAATTTTGCGAGAAAATACGTTTGTATAGGATGTCTGAAAAAGTATTCAATTTCTTTATAGTCTATATAGAAGATCAAGCACAAAAAATATTTACCCGTTTACCATTTCCAAATATTATCACTACCCATTTTATTTCCGGACATCCTGTATAATATAAATATCCATAAATGGATCAACAATGGCAAATTAAGACTTATAGACACGTAATTTACATTTACTTACCAAAAATTATTATGCAACAATACCTTTATTGCTTTAGTGAAAATTCATGGTGAATTCGTGCAGGGTTCTCTCCTGAGATATATTTTTTACAAATTTAAGCTTTTTGTGATTTAGTATAATCGGTGATACAGGAAAGTTGCGAGATCGGTTAAAATTGTTGCAGAATGTATGCCTTCAAATTAACAATATTTTTTATACAGACTGTTTTCAAAAATTTTCAAATGTATTTAAACAGTCTGTATTGACAACATTGTTGAGGTTCTTCTACTGCAGATATATGTATACTGTTGCTGGTGACTTTTCTCGAAAATCTTATTAAAACGAAGAAATATTTAAATATACTTTATATTATTTACCGATTTAAACTATTCGTGTAAATACTGACAGGGTGTTTGTTGTGTTCTAATTGTTTAGCAGTGCTTAGTTCTCGTATTGCTCTGTATAATTTTTAAGAGCTGTAAATTCTGTGCTGGAAAGGCATACCTTAATAAAGAAAAAAAACACCACCTTGGGTTTATTCAATTGTGCACCTAAAGGGAAAATGGGAAGGGAAAAAAAGAAAAATCTGGCCACATGAACTTATATTTTCAATAGCTAAATGCATTTAGCGTTAATATCTTAAATATTATAATATCATAAGAAATTGTCTAATTAAATGGTATTTGTTAAGATATGCACGGGTGAAACATGTCGACAATTTTGCGAAGATACATTTTATACAGAGCGTCCCAATAAAACTTCGAATACATCAACAAATCATCTCTCCAAATATATACCGACGATATAAAAGCATATATTGAGAAAATAATGCAGAATTTAATTTCGCTTTACTGATTATATTTTTTGGAACGAAATGTACGTATTAGAGCAAAAGTATCAACTGACACCTGGACTCAAGGACAAGCGTTTAAATACACATTCATTCAGCACATACACTCCAGAATTTATTATTAAGAGATTGCATTCGCGCTAGATCGTCCTAAAATCCAAAATGTCTAACACCAACTTAAATTATCATGAATCAATAATTTTAATAACATGCTGTTTAGCTGTGAAACCCATTATTGAAGATACCTCTATTACCTCTGTGTAATTGTAACATTCAAAGAATGAGATACAAGCTAAATTGTGCAGCCTTGATCAAAAATTTCGATAATTTTATGGAAATGATTAATGATATCTGTTGAAATGATGATGTAAAATTAAAATTAATAGATAACTTAATTTTTATGTTAGTAAATATCAAAGATTTAGCCAGCATAATTTTGATCAAGAGCATCTGAATTGAATAACAGTAACGTTATAAGTACCTACAAACTTCCTAAGCTCTATTAAAAATTAGGATTAATTTATAAAACTATTATAAAAGAAAACTATCGATACATTCACGTTACTAGTTTTTCTCAGACAACAGTTATACAATGCAACTTATTGAATAATTTGCATTATTTATTGTTCCATTACATGGATGCGCTTTAATTGAGCTTATTACTACACTACTACATAGGTAAGTATACTACGGAAGTCTACGATATAATTTTAAAATGAAATAAGTGTATGTATGCAATTTTTTCCAAAAAAAACTTTAACATTATTTGAATACTCGAATTTGTCTCGAATAAGTTATTAGAAGATTAAATAAAACGAAGCAATCGTGAAATAACATTCAGCTTATTTCCTAAAAGGTTGTAAAATCTAAAATTGGCTTCATCGCTGAAAAATTTAAGGCGAATTTTAAATTATAAACCTCTTTCTAATCGTTCATGTTATGTTCTATATTGCACATGCCGACATTAACGCTATGATCTTTTGGAAAAAATTGTAACAATCAAGCGGAAAACAGGTAAAATACAACGCGCGTTACGCCATTTATTAACGCCTTTATAAAAGAATTTTGATTTTGTTAAATCATACTTATATACGAGTAGAATCGTATATCATTATATGCCTAGTTTTGGTTTGACCAAAAGAAACATTTTATCGAAAAATCGTCAAAGGAAAACACTTCGCTTAAGAATTCGCTGTCACCTATTATTATCGAAACAACAAATTGGTACTTTCATTAGCTGCTAAATGATAATACAACGTTACTTTAAAAGCAATTAATTAAGGAAAATAATATATCGATATAACTAATTAATTTTTGTCTTCATCGTTTCGCCAGCCGTGAAAACAAAAAAGCACCACTTTGTCAATTTCTCTAGTAGTAAAACGAAAAAAAAAAAACCGGACTACGCTTCGTTATCTAAAACCTGCGGGAGTGAGTATAACCGTTATTTTCGTACAATTTGCACAAGCTATCTGTACGGCTTCCAGCGAGCTGCGAGGGTATGCTCACGCTAACCGACATATTATCATCTAGCTTGTTGATCAGTTTCCGGCGCTGCCAAATGAAGGTCCACGCAGCGATAACGGCCAGCTGGGCCGACAGGAATACCGTTACGGCCACGATAAGTCCGGCAACGTTGATGCAGAAACCAGTATCGCCGGGAATGTACACAGCTTCGTTGCCGATGCTCGTCGACTTGTTGTCTTTATCGAAACCGAACTTGTCTGTTATTTGGATGGACTGGACCAGCAGCATGTCTTCGTGGGAGAGGCTCGTCGAACGACGTCTTCTGCGTTTACCGTACGATACCACTGACCGCAATTCGCCGTTTGGTTCCTCCTCATCGCACTGAACGGGCTCGCAAGTCGGCATGCAAGGCGTCACCAAAGCCCTGAATTGCACCACTTCGGACGAAGGGAACTTGAACGCGTCGAAATGCGACAACAATATCTAGAAAGTAGATGAATAAAGCTAGAAATTTTATCCAGAATAGATAATCCAAAGTAGCATTAGAGAAGCACTATTATAACTAAAGAAAAAGATTGGTTTATTCATACCTTTCCGCTCGATGCCGATTTGTAAATAGGTCCCATAATGAAATGATCGGTGGGGCAACCATCGGAATCGATTAGAACAATTTCGCTGGAATCTACACCGTCCATGGCCACCAGTTCTCTCACGAATATCTCGTACGGGCTGTTCTTGTCCATTATTTCGAATTTGAGGGCCAAGGGATCGCCCACTTCGGCCGATTGCTTCATGTCCTCCCCGTTTCTGTCCGTTATCTTCATCGCCACGTTCGGCGAATCGACTGTAACCTCTTCCGAGAGAGCTGCAACAGAACGTTATATCTTTCAAAAAAACAATACGCTTAAACCGATTATCTCCTGAAAATGTAGCAAGGATTTTTTCGCGAGTTACGAGCGCTTAACGACCAAATCGATGGGTGTGTGTGTGCGTGCGTATATGTTATGACATCGCAACGGGCGGGCAAGTTTTAAATCGAAATGGTTTAGCGCGTTCGGACGGATCCGTGAAACCGTAACGTTTGTAAAGCGAATGGTACGGGTATTCATGAATGGAAAAGGAGAACGCCGTTGACAGAACGCAATGATATATGATCGAGGAAACGCTAGATTCCATTAGATATACGTGTACAATAATGCGTGCGATAATGTAAGTCTTGTTATTATTTAATATGGCAGTTGAGTTATGGTAGCTGTTATGCGGGTAGAATTGGTCGCTATCAACAGGAAAGATGTGTTTATGGGACAAATCAGTAGTAAAATTATTACATAAAATACTACATCTCTTTAATCCTTATTCTTAAGTTTTTCCTTTTCTGTAAGAAATTGGTTTTAAAAGTAAACTCCACTAACCTGGAGTAATATCTCCATGTACACCCAAATCGACTTCGTTCGTAACGCTCTTGTTCGTTAAATCGTACTGGCAAGTAACGGCCAAACCGAGATCACTGCTTGTAACAATCTTATCGTGGTGCTGGATCACAACATCGTTGATATATCTGAAAACAGCAATGCAATATTCCTGGCAACCTTCGCAATGAAATATTTACCTTCCAAGACCGTTCTTCCTAACGTTGCATTCCAAGTTATCGTACGCCATGTTCAATTCGAATTCCAGGCTGTTGTTGACGTCCCTTACGCATGAATTGGGGCTACCTTTAGCGTATATCTTTCCATCGAACAATTTGCTGGTTTGAATCTTGGCTACCATATCACCGGAGCGACAATCGATGCTTACATTATAGCACGAAGACAGTTCGTAAGTAGCGGCTTCGGGAACTTCTAGGTACGGTTCCTGAAAGTACGAATTACTCAGTAAAACTGCGAACGTTCGTTCCACTCGATACTCACTTGTATATCGGATAAAGTGGCGCGAGAATGATGGCTCAATCTGCAAACCATCTCGCCGGTGTCGCCGTAATCGTAGGAGTGGCATCTGTACGGGCTGTTTAAGCAGAGTTCCCTGCACTCATCGACGGAGCCGACGTCCTGGTAGACGGAGTCCACGGTTTTTAGGATCCTTCCGGTGAGTTTTTTGAATTCGCAGAGCTTGGTGGGTTCGTCGATGCAGTTGTTCTCCATGTACTCGAAACCTTCGGCTGGTTGGAAAGCAGGACTTCCGGCCAGGGTCATTCTGTCCATGTTCGACAATTCGCAGACTCCCGTGTTGTTGTTGAAATTAGCAGATCTGTAAAATTTATTTAAATTATAAAATTAGTACTAGTAGTGCGTAGTAGTTGCGTAGGTATTATAATTTCCCTTTTTTATGGTAGAGTAAAGAGGCATTAAAGCAACAAACCTATTAATCAATTTTATTCTTATAATTTCCTTCTGCACTAATTGTACGTCTTACATCCATAAACCATTAGCAGAAGGTACATCTCCATTGGAAATCGAGAAATGATCATTTCGAAATGGAGAAAATTGTATATTTAATAAATTTGTTGGGATGTTATTACATCCTGCTGAACGCGCCTTTCCGACGATAACAAAGATCGTTTGTCAAATATTTTCCGATAACGACGGATAAACTGTGAGTCGTACTTTATGAAATGGCTTAATTAGGTATCTCATAGGGAATGTTTGAATTTTTTTTCTTGTTGCAACTTAATTATAGGTGCATCTTGCAAGAGTAAATATATAGCTTCTGTTGTAGAAAAAAGTAAAAATATTGTTTTTTTATTGAATAAGTATTTATATAAGTACGTTTATAATTTCTGATGGAACGATTTAATTTTCAATTTTCTTCGTACAACTGGCACATAAGTTAAAACTTCAATAACCTGAACACCGGATAGACAAAAAGTTAGATACGGTCTATTAAACTCGCGACATAATAGCAGGTGCTATATTGAACGCTGCGGTGTAGCAATGTAGAAAAATAAATCCTCCAGCGCGGTAGAAGTTCTCTATTATCTTTTCCTATAATATTTTATAACTCAATAAAGTTGAGAGCGAAATGTAAAAAAATAATTAGGTACCGAATAAAACAGCAGGAAATAACTGAAATTTAATTAGATCATCCAAAGAAGCATTTGCACGTTATAAAAATTAGATTAGATTAGCAACAGATAAGAAAATGAGCCCTAGTGAAAGAAGAACTGTGCAGCAGAGCCACCATTCGCATTCTCCTCGGAATTAACATCACGATCGTTCGCCGATCCATTTTTTTATTGTTATCCCATCGTCCGTCAGTGTGCTGCACGACCCCTTCGCGTCCATCGCCGGATAGATTACTCGGCATGTCGGTCGGACGTTGAGAAATTACTTTTACGGTCAATAGAAAAATAATTGTTATTTTATGCAATTGTCTTGCGCGCATCGTATGTGCAAAGCTGCCAAGTGTAACAATGAGACAGCCGATCGCGAGAGCCGAACGTGAGCCATGTCAACTTTGGAAGCCTCGGAACCGCTGCTGTCGCCGTTTTGCTAAGCGGGATTTTATTCGAAGAGCCGCCGGCCCGAGGAGAGAATAGTAGCTATATAGCATGCTCGATAAAGGCACGTTTGTACACTTAGAAATTACTCTTCTACAGAAATTTTTTAACAAATTAATACCAAATACTGAGTAAAGCATCTACAGTGTGACATGAGTAATTGTAGATTGTTGAATAAGTTTGTAATGTAAAAAATGTACTTTATCTTGTCAGCCTCAATACATTTCCTTTATTACCTCTAAATTTCCATTTCAATTAGATTGTGCGGTAATTTAATCAATCATCTACTTCCTGGATTTTTTCTCGACAAATCGAGTAAAGAATTGCTCCATAGCATCAGCCATATGTTCGGCGTCCGTATTTGCCGAACGGTTCGAGTATCGTGTAAACGTAGCCGAGTTTGCTTGTTCAGTTCGAAAGCGAAAACCGGGTTTGACATTTCGAGTTGAAGAGCATAATAATAATTGCAAATGGGAATTGAAATTGAAATTATTGAAAGTTTATCATAATATTTGTTCGTTTTGTCGATCTATCACGATTTCATACAAGCGCACGGACAGGTATGTGAGCAACTATAATGCCTGCCCGAGACAACGAACAGCTTCTTTATTCCGAATGAAAGCGAACGTTAGATTTTTTTCGTTCGCCTATATGGATGTGTATTGCCTCCGAAATTGTATAATACCTATTGAAAATTTATTTATTATTATACATATGTTAAAATGAAAGGTTTTTTAAATAGCATATTTCCAAGATTCCCCTAATACTAGGGTGCTAGTTAATTGAGTGCCGATACTTCAGGATGTGATTATTTGGATGATTTTAAGAAGAAAAGTTTATATTATTATATGTATTATTATATATAAACTTCTTTGTTTTCAAGCTACAGAATGTTACAATTAAAAAAAAACTTTTCTACTATAATTTTCTTATAACTCCAAATATTTTTACGAAATTTTGTACACACTTTTGAATTATTAAGGAACATTTTTAAGGCAATATATTTTTAAAATTTTTTATCAGTTACGTCCGTACGGTGTTCGAACTGAAGATGTTTGAAGAAAAAATGGTACACTACTGCTTTTTCTAAAAACCAAAATTAATTTTAAAATCCTTGTTTATTTTGTAGTAAATTCGGTCAGTAGACCTAATTTCGTACGACGCACACCCTTTTCGCATAAAAAAATAAAAACCAAATTAATTTCTTTCCAAGTTCATTGAGACTGCTTTTGATATTTTGTTGAAATTTGGTAGACGCACATCATGCATGAAAACACATTTTTTTTGGGGACAAAAATTTATTTTCTACTATTACCAGTGACGTCCACGTTCGAAATTTCTTAAAAATATCTAGAGTAATAAGAAAATTATGATAGAAAAGTTATTTTTTTTCTAAAATTGTAACACCTTGTAGCTCAAAAACTAAGAGGTTTAAGACATATACTGATATAAACTTATCTTCTTAAAATCATCCAAATATTCACATCCAGAAGTATCGGAACTCAACTAATTAACACCATATAGGTATATTCAATTGCTATAGTATGAAATAACAAACAAGAAAATCCAACTTAGTTAAATGCTATGTATGCAATGTCAATCTATTCTCTAGATAGAGTAATAACAATTTTTCCCCGAGTGTTTGGAATCGTTGCAGTAAAACAAATTACCGAGATGATCATCGGACAATTAAGTATAGTACATTCGTCGTCACTTCGTCCACATAGTAAGCATACCAATGTTAATCAGCGTGTAACAAGACCGAAACCGTAAATCCGCGGACCTTACGATGGCGTATTGAAAATAAATACCGAACCAATCTATGTCGCATTGTTCGGGACGATTTTCTATAAGCTACAGCAACGTAGGCTACGGTTGTAGCTCCTCGGCGTACCCGCTGGGCTTTCCTTGTTGGGTTCAGCCAGCCACAGACAAGTGTATAGTACGTAATGCTTTCAAACTCTCAAATATACATTCTGCGCTGTTTATCGGCTACATAACTTCGACACCAGTGCATTCCGGTTGTTAGGAAGTCGCTAAATTATAGGCGCGTACGAAAAAAAAAAACCGATCGAATACTGTATAAATGAATGATAATTATTTTTTGCTACGTAATTTTCTCATAATGGTCGAAAACAATGTAAGCATTCACTTCATTAATTAGGTTGAATGTCTAATTAGTAAAATTATATAGCCTTTTGTGACGGCGAATTCGGCCACATTTAACGGGATAATTCTAATTAAGGAAGACAAAAGCTCATTATTCTTGTGCCAAAATGTTATTTCCTAGTACTTATATTTTTAATCAACCTGTGTTTATAATAAGTACGTAAGGTATTCTTCCAGGACCATTACGTAAACGTAATCTAAAATCGTCAGAGAAGAAATATAAAAATGAGTATGTTGCCTCCCTGCGGTAACAAACTCACAGATCGATCTGATTTAAAAGCGATTTCGATTTTACGTAACTACAAAATAGAAATTTACATAATAATAGCTCCATTAGAGAGCTACTTAAGTTTATTACACATAAATTTTATGTGGAAGCAGATAGGTAGCGAGATATTTCCACAAAAAAATTACAAATGAGTTATTTTCACAATAGAATTAAAAAAGAAGATGTTAATGTACTTCAGATCTACTCCGGCAACATCCTCTCTTATTGACTTTAATTGTTCTTCAAAGCAGTTTTTTGTTGCGCTTTTCAATCCTGGTAATTTGAAAGCCTATTGAGCAGATCACAATCTATAAAAGATAATGAACTAATACTAAAATACTATAAGTAAATTAGTTTATTGGTTACCACATTTTTTTATTTTTGGTATCTGTATTAAATTAGGCGTAACTTTTGAAATTTAAGGTACAGTAAGATGAATATTCAAATTATTCAGTCATATTCAACTCTGTTTTTAACACCTCCAAAAATTCTAAAACTATAGTTCTAGACACAAAAATCGATTGGTTGCAATATAGCATGAACTGTGCAGCTCCCGTTAAAAATAATTAACAAAAAGGTGAATGCCCCGCAGAATTCACCGATAAAATCCGAGAAACGCTTGTAATTAAAAGGCGAACGAGTGACCACTGTCAAAAAGGTTTCGAGCTGAAAAATTCGGAGTTTAATTAGCTTTTATTGCGGACGTCGAAAAACGTTCCTCGAAATTAGTCACGGAACGGCGACCGCCGCAAGTTTTCATCGAACCACTTTAAATATTTATTTTCGTTAATTGTAGGAAATGTTTTACTTAATGCTGAATCGCTCGAATGACCGCCTTATTTTTAGGATTTCGTACCTTCATTTGAATATCAACTAGGTAACATAATTGCTACCTGTAGAGTAAGGTACAGAAAAATATATTTTTATTACATCTACAGCGGGTACTTATCTATTTCCTCAAACGAAGAGTAATATAGTTAGGAATTAATATTCTGGTTGATGCTAGTTAATAATGTTTAATTCCTACCTAGCATTCACTAATATCTATTGGTAATTGGTGTATAATAATGCGGTAGCTACCGATTTTCTTTGACGAGATCTAACCGTAAAAAAACCTTATCAAGTCGTTCACCGGTCGGTACCACCGATTGAAATGTATAATAAGATCAGCGATACAATCTAAATTTGATTATTTAATTGACGTTCCCCGATACAAATCTCGCTTCGGTAAATTGTTATAATTTGTTGCGAGCAAATTGATTCCGATTCATTTGTGGGCTCTCGAAAATTTGATGTCACTACAATATATTCCAA